AATTAAAGGAGATTTCGAATTTACAACTATTTCAAATAATGTAATATAAATTTAATATAAAAAATAATAATAATAAAATAACTATAATACTTAAAAGTTTATTCAGATATATTTTCGTAAAGCATATAATAGTCTTATGTTATAATTACTTGTATTAAAAGATAGGAGAGATATTTAAAAACCCCCATTTTAAAGAATTTTCATATGGTATTAAAATTTTATATTGCATCATTTTAAGTTACAATTCGACATACTCTAAGCAATTGCAGTGGCAAGCAAGCAACACCGAATTTTGTTAAAAAGTCATCAAAGACCAACAGGAGCAACAATAACAACATTGTAACTGAGAGTCACGACGTTTGGTAGGTTTGGTTTTAATACCCTGGAAAAGTGTATTCATTTGTTTTTAAAGGTACAAGAATTTTATATACTTTAGAAAAGATTCTGCCCAATTGATACATGATTTCTCGATGTGAGATAAACGGAATAAAATGAAAAATAGATTCACTTTTGATTCCAATAGAAAAATATATACAAAATTAGTATGGTGTCCAAGGATTGCTTCATAAAAAATATATCAATATTAATACATTACTAAATAAAAAAATCAATGAATATTTTTAAGGTATCCTCCTGGTCGATCCCTTAAGCTAGCCCCCTTTCTTGTTTTCGCTGGTTTCAAAACCAGTTTTTGCTTAAAGTCTAAACTTTATTTACAATATTGTTTTCTTTTACGACGTCGTCGCTGTCGACCGCGATTGTTGATGTTGTTGCTGCGGTTGTTGGTTTGACCCAAGCCCCTTTTTGTAATAAAGAAACTGGTATACGAACAAGACCCATCCACAGGCACTCGAATCCATGGATGAGGAGCACTCCCAGTCCCCTGGATGCTGCCCCAAACCCAGAGCCAGACTCAGAGTCAAAGCCTCACGACAATTTAGCCAATTTGATGTGCATCTCAAAAAGGGGACAGAGCCGGGGAGCTATATAATAGCCCGAGACGATTTCAGTTTTTTAGTTTGCATAGGGAAAACCGATTCGACGGAGATGAGATGAAATGGGATGACCGCGCAGATTTGATTTTCTAGAGAGCCCTTCGGGTGCCCGTCTTGTTTTTTGGTGTTGATTGGTCCCGTGTGGTTTATCAATCATTAAGACTGACCGCCGGCCGGAGTTGAGATCGTAAAAGTTGGGCCTAAATGCTCAGAGTTGGCCTCTAAAAGGCCATCTCTACGAATGGCATCCCATAAACGAGCAACCCAGCCAAGAATCATATTATACCCTATACTTATAGGGTTTTTATGAATGCCCAACTCGGATGAGTTACAGCCTCGAAATGAGCAATTTGGACGCTCATTTGATTGCATGTTACAGACCTTGGAAAAATCCCTAACGGAGTGCACTTAAATCATTTCTTATTTTCCTTCCTTTGGGGGGAGGTTGTAAAATCTGTCAGTTTTTCAGGGGTAGAAATTTCTATTCCCAATTGGTTAGAAAAGATACTCACTTAGTTCAAGGGAAGTATATATTAGTAGGGATTAAATGTAACAATTATATAGTGAGATTTATCAGTCTTTACTTATTCATTTAATATTTTTTAAAATATTAATATTAAAAGTTAAAAGAAGATAGAAAGCCATTTGTAATTCATATCTTAAATATTTCTTTAATAAAAAACTACTTAACTGTTCCCTAAACCATGCATAAAGTTACTCTAAGAACACCATTTTGAATACCTAAAAAATTCCAAGACTTTCAAGGATTATATAGAAATAATTTTACAAGTGCATTAACCATTTTTTAAGGACTTTGTCGGGACAAACTAGGATCCTCTCTGGCGAAAAACCACTAAGGAATATAACACCACTCAATGTGGTGACCTCAACCGCAATGTGGAAAGCTTGTTGAGGCTGTATCCCTTCAGGAAAAGGAAAACAAGGCAAAAGAGCGAGGAAAAACAAGGAAAATGTCAATAGCTTAGGCAACGACATAATTTGCTTTGCTTAATTTCTGCTACGTTTCGGTATTTTTATTGCAATTTCTGTTTCAGTCGTTCGGTTAACCGAAGGAGGACAGGAAAATTCTGCAATTTGCCAATGAGTCCCGGTCACCGGGAGTCCCCCAGTCCTGGTCCTGCTCCTCGTCCTGGTCACGAACCCGGTTCCATGTTCCCTGTACCCTGCACCCTGAGTCCCAACTTCGGATACGGCTGTGGTCGGAGCGAAAGCAATGTAACATGCCAAATGTGTCCCGGAATTTAATTAAACATTTTCTGCGCTTATTCGTGTATACCACGGTCCACCCTTCGTCCCTTCTGTTGCTTTTCCTGTGCATCAGTAGTGCCCACGCCTCTGGGTTTGTAACATACACTAGGAGAAAATATGTATTCTTTAAGCTAAGTCAAACTATATTTTATAAAATGAAACTAGAATTTCTGGGATATTTTTCTAGCCATTTTATATAAATTTAAGGGTTATTATTATGGGGTTTTTCCTAGTAGCACACTCCGCTTTAAGTTCTATATTTTATTTTTGATTTAATATATATATTATACATATTTTTTCTAAACAAATTTTTCTGTCAGTGCCTTAGCCCATCAACCTCGTCGCCAATGTCCTGTCCGAAATTCTTGTCCGAGGGGGTAGCTTTTACTATTGATTCTGGGAGCCCTCAAAAGGGGGCGGGATATGGGCGGGGCGGTCCAGTAAATGGCAAGGTTATTGACATATTTTAACAACTATTTGCAAAAGGCTTTAGTTTCACTTCAATTCCATTCCCCTTCCCCGATTGTCCTTGTCGTCCCTTCCCCTTTCACGCATAATTGAAGCAAGTGCAGAATGTCTTCATCCTTTTTGTGGGAGGATGAGGTCCTGGCGGCAACTCGAATCCGGAATCGGACTTGGACTTTCAGTCCTTCTGTTTGCTTTCATGTTTAAATGTGCTCGCGGCATCAATATTTGTATCCTTGCAAATATTTGACATTTGTCATGTAAATAACGTTATTTCAATTACTTGATGTAAACGAAACGGACAACAACAGCAGCAGCAAAAAAAAAAAAAACACCAGAATGGCATGAAATAAAAAGGGAAATAGAAAAAGGAAGAGCAAAAGAACAAGGAAAGCAAGCAAAGGGAAAGCAATGGGCAAGGAAGCGGAAACGGAAGTAAGGCGAAGCTCTTGAAAGGGGATTGCAATACTTTCGATATTGACTATTTGCCTTCACCAAATAACTTTGAGCGACAATTTACTTATGATGAAGAATCCCACAAAAAAACTGGGAAAAATATGCATATTGAAGCCTTTTGGTTGACCATTTTAATAAATACAATCAAAAAGTTGTACTAATTAAATAATTCTAATAAAATAAAAAAAACAAGAGAGAAAATTCAGTTCGGTAAGCCGAAATTTAAATACCTTTTGCAGTTTGTAATGGTATTATAGAATCGTATAGGAAATCGATCATAATTATATATGCATATTATTTATATGACAATTTTTTCCAAAAATCAAAGTTTAAAAAACGCACAACTAAGCCGAAAAATCATTAATTTTAATTTGGAAAGCTGTTCTATGCTAGTTTTTAGTAGATTAACAAATCTGCATAGTTAATTAAAAATTTCAGAAATTTGAAATTTTATTTCAATTTTTGAAATAAAAAGAACCATGTAACCCCTTATCTTTTTTGAAATTTTTGGAAAAATTTAGAAAAATTTAATTTAAACTGCACATGTCTAGAAGGATACTCTTGTTAATGCTGATCAATAATATATATAATTTTATGGGTCGGAAATGACTCCTTCATTTCGTTATCAATCTCTGACTGAAATTATAATACCCAGAAAAGGGTTTAAAAAATTCTTTTTAGCTTGACACAATACTTCTTTAATTTCATTTTATATACATAAAAAATACTCTTTTCGAAAACAAACTCGTAAATTGTATAAATAAAATGAAAAGTGCACACAAAATGTATTCATAGAACATTTACATTTCCATTCCGATTGCGTCAATATACTTGGCAGCCATTCGAAATAATATTTTTGTGAGCAGAGCGCGTCAATGGCGCCTATGAGATCCATAATAGTTCTCGCAAAAATATTCAATAATATTGTGTTTTCGCGCACTACTTGGGAATGTGTTTTTGTGTGCGTTTGCATATAGAAATAACAAATAGCAACAAGAGTTGTTTGTGCAAATTGAGAATGAAAATTAAGGAGAACAAAAAATACAACACTCCAGATGTTGAAAAAATTGAGTGGCAATTACTGGAAAGACAAGAGTGTATTGAAATTGAACCCCTTTCAGCCAGAGCCACTGCCACGTATTCAGCGACAGGCGGTGCGATTGAAAGGAGGCTCAATCAAAGTTTGCCCAAACAGCAAGAAGCTCTCTTTTTCTCTCTTGCTTACTAGCTACACTTTAACAAATATAAAAAATTTTAAATTAATTTTAAAAAATTACCCACTTAAAATGTTTTTTTTTTTTAATCCAAGAAGTGGTTGTTAAGCATCATTTTAATATTGGAAATCGAACATTTTGCCAAACTTTTGTTGTATGTTTTGTAAAATATATTAAATCAAAGTTGAAGGTATTATTTGGTTTATAAATTTTGATAATATATTTTAAATCCTATTTGTGATTTTGTAAAATAAATCAATTTCTTACTTTAAGGTTTTGAGAATTTTTTACATATTTTATTAGCTTTCAGGGTACTATAACAGATGTTGATATATGTCAATATATTAATTATGCACCACGTAATTATTGCATCATATTAAATACCCAGAAAATTAAATTAAGTAACAAATGTGTAATCTTTTAAGTCTATAAACAATTAAAACACAATTTAAAAGCTATTTATTTTTAGAAATTTGTTTAGTAAACTATTGAGCAACTTTTTTTTATACAATATAAGAGATGTAATGCCTAAGCTGTCATTCGATTTTTAGTTTTGAAAATATGTTATAAAACCCCTTCTTTGATTTATAGAAAATGATAAACTTCTTATGCAAATTTTCTAAAAATTTCTTGAAACATAATTTAGTAGTTCTTTCGTAGTAGTTCTTTCGTAAATTAGAATATAATTTTTATAATATTTTGTCAGTGTCCTCGATTTGCTCTCTTCTTAAAATTTCCTTCAATATCTGGCTCTCTGTTTGCGCATTCAATATTGTGCTGAGAACTATCTCAGTATTTGAAGCACCTTCGCTGGCATTGGACACTTGAGGGATGAATTCCCGAGACCGCCAATTCTGGACAGAGTTCCTGCTCCTCTACAGATCCCTTCCGGCCGTCTGGCAAATCCAAAGTCCTGACTATGGCTGCCGGGAGCTGAAGGCCGCCGGATATGAGCAGCTGGTCCGGAAGCTGAGTGAGGTGGAGCCGGAAGCCAACAGAACCACAGTGGTTAGGAAGATCAATTCGTTTCGAACCAACTTCAGGCGGGATGTGCGGCGTCGGGATCAGTGCTCGGCAATGGGGAAGTCCTTTCAATCAACTCTATGGTATTTTAATCTCTTGAGTTTCCTCGAGGGTAAGGATACAGCAGCTAGGAGCCAGAAGACAGTGGAGAGGAGAAGGGAATATTCGAAAGAGAAAGACGGGGATCAGGTATATATATATATTATTTTAATTTAGTAAATACAGTAATTTATCTTATATCCTTCGAGGAATCTCACTTACCTCAAAAATGTGACAGTTTTAAGGAAATCAAAGAGGAGTCACTACTTTCCCAGGCCTCCGCTCAATCTGTTACCCCGGAAAATAATTACGCTTTTTCCACTTTTCCGGAAATTCCTGAAGAAAAATCCTCTTCTATACAACGGTTGAGTGAAACGGAAGCTCTCACCCAAACTTGGGGCTATCAATTCGAGGAATTATCCCAGTCACAAAGGATTATAGTTCGCAAATTGATATCCGATATTCTTTATTATGGATGCATGGAGCAATTAAATCCTAGCCATGTTGACCAAATAAATCAGTTATTAAGGACAAAGGATATAGGAAGCGAAAGGATTTTCTTTAATGATAATACTTGAAATATGTGATAAATGTGGGATATTATTTTGTCAGAATTAATAAAATAAAAAGATGTTTGCTAATTTAAATACTTCATTGCAAAGGGTTTGTAATCAAGTAAATAAGGCTCCGAAATGGGATTGAATTTGTATAGATTTTGAAGTCAAAATAATAAATTAAGCTTGTCTAGTTAGCTACCCATTTTTCCTTTTAAGAATGTCTAATGATTTAATTTTCTTTAATGCAATTTAATTGAATTGGTGCTTCCTTCTTGAAACTCTATAATTCTTCTTGTTTTCTCTACCAAATTTCCTCCATCTGTCGCAGTTAATTGTTTGGAAAACAAAACACATAACCTTCGTGTAGGCATTCTCCAATTTCCCCCCTCAAAACCGAAATTATTTTAGTCCAAATCCATTTTCCATTTGGACTGCCTTGTCAGGGGAAATTAGCAAATAAATGTGCACGAAATTAAAACAAATTAACAACATTTATTTGCGACTGGAAAACTTGGTCATTTTCTGTATGTGTGTGGGTTTGGGAATTGAAAAACTTTTCTAACCAAACCAAACCAAAACCAAACGAAACGAAATGAAAGTAAACCAAATCGAAGGCACGAGTGCCCAAAGCAAATGACACTTTTTTTTTGTCTCCAGAGTTTCCGCACTTAGAGCAATTGCTGTTATGGGAAAAACGAGGGGTGCAGGGGGGTGTGGCACGAATGAATGAAAAAAATGCAAATTTATTGGCATTTAATTTAAAAGAGAAACAGAAACAAACAAAAAAAATGTACAGCGGCATAGAGACCAAGAGAATTGCCCGCATTCGCGGCACAAAGACCCGGAACGGAGCGGCGGAACCCAGAGACCCCGGGAACCCCCGAAAACCCCAGAACCCAGAACCCAGAACCCAGAACCTCGGGACTTTACTGAACAGACCCTCATAATGTGCACAAAACTTGGCAACAGCAACAACAACAACAACAACAATAAGAACAACAACAGGAGCGGACCGCAACAACAAATGCGGCATATAAACGAGCGCATAATGAGCTCAGTAGAACTTCCCGCCATGGACGGATGGTCCGTTGGTTGGGATGGATGGATGGATGGGATTGGGTGGTATGAGAGTGGAAAAAATCGCATTTAATGCCTAAATATACACTGCAAATAACAAAAATGTAGAGTAAATTCCAGGAGAAGATTTCATCTTAATAGATAAATCCATTATATAGATACCTAGATTGAAAAGTTGTGAATAGATATAGAATGTGTTTTTGAAAGACTTTGCTTAAACTTCTTAAGTATTTAAAATGTTGTGAAACTTGGTGTTTGGGTTCTTAAATCATTGGGCTGCTTTAATTTGAATTTATAATTAAATATATTATTTATTTATATACTTGAATCCTATACTAGCGCAACAAAAGTGACATTATATTTATTGCACTCTACAAAGTAGATATGCCAAACATTTCTTCATCTACATTATTTTCTTATTACTACTCAAATATATTATATAATGTATTTTTTAGTATCTCACTCGTTTTGTTTAAATTAGTATTTATTTACAATTTAACTAACATATAAAGCAGTTTTTCTAACAATTAAATAATATGTAGAGGGTGCCTTTTATTATATGGCTTTGAAGTTGTGCAAGGCATATAAATGATCACCATAAACCTAGTTAAACTATATTAAATCTATTATAAATGGGTAAATAATTATATTATTAAGAGTTTCTATCTATATTTTCATTTTAAAATATGTAGTTTTTAAGTGATTATAAATACAAACGTTATTCAATAATACTTTTAGTGAATTAATTTAGTTTTGGATTTTCAAATGTATATATTAATGCTGTCTTTTAAAATATAGAAGTGTTAATCTATATTTCAAATGCCATAATAAATATTTATATTTCAAAATCTAAAACTGTTTTGCGCTCTCAAGGATCTTTAAGTATCCAATTTAATTTTTTCTAAGATCTTAAATATTATTCATAGTGTACAAAAATGAGCTGCGAAATGGGTGGGGAAGAGTAGGGAGATTTTTCCAGGGTATTTGGCCCATATATATTTTAAACACGCCCCCTTATTCCCTGGGCGGGTGCTGCCTTTTTTATGCTCCGTGCATATCATGCAATTACTTTCCACTCAAATGTCAATTTAAATTGAAGTTTTATGCAAAAACCATACTCGAAATTTTTCGCAAGGATGTGAGGGAGGAGTGGCAATTCCTCCAGAGGGTCCTGCTTCCGGTCCTCATCCACATCCCGATCCTTTCCGAGTTGGTGTGTGTGTGTGCTTTTTATGTGTTAGTTGCACATTTCGGAAATTAAGTTGAAATTTATTAGCACATCTTTGTCGTCGCTTTGGATTGCTTTGCCAGCACTTCGAGGGGATTCCTTCAAACGGCCTGTGACGAATCCTTAAAGCCCCTTTTTTTGCCGTTTTCAATCGACGGCGGGAAAGTGTGGGTGGAGGTGTTCGTAAAAGCTGATATTAATGTGCGTGTGTTGTGGGAAATGGCGTTACATAAATTGTCAAGGAAAATCTCACAAATAAGGTGAGTTTTTCAGGGGATAAATCGAAAAATAATCTCTCACTAAGCAGTGGGGGGTTTAAGGTCTGGGAAAGTGTTTTCCCAAAAGGATATGGGGTTTATAATGTTGTTTTTATATGGTTTTTTAAAATAAAATAGTTTTGAAATCCTTAGAAAATATTTTATCTATATCTATTTTCTTTTATGAATACTAATTATTAAAAGCTATAGTAAATGTTAACTTACTTTCTAAAAATGCTTCTAATTAACCATCATATTGCTTTGACAAGCTAGAAGTGTCCTTGGGGATTACCTCAAAGTCCTGCCCCAAACCGATTTTCCCGCATCAGAGTTCAATTAATTAGCCGACTTGGATTGCTTTCGTGCTCTTAAACCAGCAAGAGACTGGGCACATCAAAGGAATATCACCCCAGCTGCTGAAGCACTCTCCAAAGCAGAGAGTGCACAAAAAGCAAGGGAAATTATAAACCTCATCAATTAAGGACCTTCAGCGATATATACTCGAACATATGTCCGATACAGGATCAGCATCAGTGGATTTATGCAATCAACCGATGTGCCCTGCTCAACGGAACGTAGCGCCCTTGGCAGGAGCAGCAGCAGCAGCAGAAGCAGCAGTAAAGAATCTGAAGGACCCTCCACTCGGGACAGACACGCACAAGGATGTGCGGATATGGATTCGAGTTCGATTCCGGATACGGATATGTGGGCTGTGGGTCCTCCATTTGCCAGTGGTGTGTGTATTAGTGCCTCGATATTACACAATTTCCAATCGCATCAAGTCGTTAAAAGTTTCGATTACAAAACGCGCTTTACAATTGCCCCGACGGCGATGTGTACTGCAGAGGAGGAGGGTTGCAAAAAATAAAAATAAAAATAAAAAATAAGACAAGCAGCAGAACAAAAACATCCAACCAACTATACAGTATGGGGTGGTGCGATATATGTATGTGGTGTTCACAAACAAATATTGAAAGTGGCATTAAAAAACTTTACCAGCGTTGATTTTATTGCAATGAATTTGCGCTCAAATGGCAAATCAATGTGTTTTCCCTCTGCCAGTCAATTTTATGGTTCCCCAAACACACACACACACACACACAATACACACACTCTGTGCACACTCACATGGCATATCCCCAACGAACCGAACCAGTCTGACAGCCCAGCCAGTTTGATGTTCTACTTGGCACTAGATACGCTCCTCAACTGGGTGAAAGTTGCTTTGGGGCACAAAAGAAAACTGTCGGTGATTGTGGCAAATAGCATGGACATTATAGCTTTTAGTCCAGATTACCTGGAAAAAGCAACTGCATCCGTGGGATATAGATTTTGAAATTGAATTACATTTAGTTCAAGGAGTTTAGGGTACTTTAAAATTTAAATGTTTAAGGGTTTCCATTTTTACCCATAAATATATTGAAAAGAAATCAACTTTAGTTAAGTCTATTTAAAGAAAATTTTAGAATATTTATCATACATTAATATTTAAAAATTTTTATTTATTATAGATGAGGTTCCACTTGACTTAACGTCAAAGAAATCAAAGCTCTTTGTCTCTAAAATCGTGCTGGGAAATTTTAAGTGAAATAAACGTTCCCAATTATACTTCAAAGATTTAAAGGTAAGCATCCATTATTAAATATATACAAAAATTTAAAAAAAGTAAATATATAAACTATAAATATGAAGAATATAATAATATATAATATATTAAACCCTTTATCAAAGAACGAAATGACCCAATATAATGCAAAACAAATAATAATTAAAATGTTTCAAGCAAATGAACCCAATTTTACTACCCTTTCTCTACGTTACATAAAAATATCCTTCTATAAAGACACTCCCTTAGGAAAATGCTAGTTTTAGCCATCTGAAAAATTCCCAAATAAAATTAAACTGATGAAAATATCTAACAACACGTAACCCATAAAATTGATGAATGCATTTGGCAAAACACATTAAAAACACATTTTTACAACTCTTTGTGCTAATTTGTAAAGCCCGAATTAGCCATTAAAAATATAGATAAACCTTAGAGAATATACGAGATATAAATACACACTATATACTATATATATTCCCCCATCAATTGGGTTTTGGAAACAAAACTCGCTCTGTAATCGCATTACTTATATGGCAGTTAGTTTTGTTCATGTTCATGTTTTTATGTGCCACATAATCGCCATTAATTTCCATTTTGATGTCCTATCGTCATTTTTAATGCCGATGCTTTTAACGCCACACATTTCGAGCACTCCGTGATAACAAATAAAAGCCGGCAACAAACTATGGACATAAAAAATAAACAAACATTTTTAGTACTATTTTTCGCTCGACCACCTCGTCCCTGTCGTCACCCCTTTTAGGTAGTATTTTTTTTTTTATTTTGTTGCTTTTCTTTTTTGTTGAACTGAAATTGATGCATTGATTTTTCGATATACAAAAACATTCCCATCCGTTTTATTGCGCACACCCCCTCCTGGTGATGGTGGCACGCCC